TCCAGCCCTGGAGCAGCATCATCCGCTTGATGTAATTCCTTCCTTCAGAATCAGGTGTCCCGTGACCGCGAGGGCTCAAAGGCAGCCATCGCCCCTAGGGGGAGCTGTAGAGTTGCGGCGGCAATGGCGTCCGCCCCTCTTTTGAGCTCTTTTGTGCAACCTCAGGGCCCGAGTGGCCCCCCGGCATCTGCCGTTATTTCTGAGCGCGTTCGCCTTGGGAAGCCCCCCCGACATGATTAATACTCCCAGCTCACATTCTTCTTCCTGAGGATGTTCTGTTTCCATGAATACTGCCGTCAGGTGGGGAGAGTGGGGGGGGGGGGGGGGTCGGAGAGTATGTGCGAGGAGTTTACCGTCCCTTGATTGACAGAAATGGAGTACAGGAGGAGCCATGTGTGTGTGGAGAATGTGTGTGGATTAGATGAGGGGGCGGGGTTTGTGTGGTGGGGTCATGAGGGGCGGAGCCTGTGTGGACTCAGGCCGGAGAAGTGGCTGTGTAACTTCCTGGAAGGGCGTGGTCTTGTGCATCAGCCAATCGGGTGCAGTGTTTACATCTCAGTGCTTCAATCCTCCCTATACTTCGCCCTATTGGCTTTACCGCAGGTGCTAGTATGCATGTTGAGGTCAGGGAGGGTGATTAGGTTCCCGTATCTGTGTCTTATCTTCAGATTCTTTATGTAAACACACACGGTACACCTGCAAACTCGCACAGGCACATCAACACAAACCACAACAATGAACCCAAGGGGGACTGGCACAGGTGATGCGGGCACAGGATTGGAGGGCAGAGACAGCCGGTTACTGCATATCAAAGGGCGTCGGAGGGAGGGATGGAGAAGATGAAAAGGCTGGAGCCTCGTCTCAGATCGGGGCTGATCTTGCGCCCTTCATTGAAGTCTCAGCCTGGCTTTCAATCAGGGCTAACCCCAGAGCGCACTGCGGTTTGGTTGGTGTGGCTGCGCATCAGAGGGGCTTTGCTTGTGCTGTGCTGCATCGTTTGTTTGCTCTGCAGACAATCATCCTCAGACACTGTGAAGTATCCAGTGACACTTTGATGCCTGATAGTTTAGTCGAATCATTCAGGTCACGCCATCTTTTTGTATAGCTCACTTAGTCTGTGAACTTACTGTAGCTACTGCTGTGTGTGTGGCGATACTTAACCTTTGCTATCTTAGTGGGGATACATTTTCAAAAGAAATCCTCAACAAACAGTTAATTCCCTAGGAAAAAAAAAGTTTTTATGGAGACATCCCCACAGAACGATAGTCTCTAAAAAAACTGCAAGTGCCAAAAGTTTTTGCCTTCAGAAATCTGTTTTTCGTGTTCTGTTCGGGGTGGGGTCGGCGTCATGTCGACTGAAACTACGTTCAAGCTCCAGTCAACGGGAGCTCGGGACGGGCACAGAGACGGGAAGTTTCCCCGTGTGTGTGTGTGTGTGCGTGTGCGTGTGTGTGTGTGTGTTGGGAGGTGTAGACGTCCCCCGAGACCTGCAGCTGACATTGCGGCTGCTGTAAGCCGCCCCCACACCGCTGCTCTGCTTGGGTTTCATCACCGCTAATCAGCACAGGGGCCAAAGCACACAAGCGGTGAGCAGGGAGGAGGCAGGAACGCGGGATTCCATAAAAGCAGACCAATCGCGGCTGCCGTTATGAATGTGACCAACCCCGGGGCTCCATTGTTACGGGGGCAGGGCCTCTGGCCAACTCTTTGCATGAGATGTTTGCCATTGAACATTCTTCACATGTACTGCTGATTCTTTTCTTGGCTACAGCCAATTGTATAGGGAAGAGGTAGGAAGGAGTAATTATTAATGTTTATTGACCCTCTGCATGCTCCTTCAGGGGAATTAGATGTGATCCAGGACCTACATCTCTGTCAGATCCCTGCTTTTCTTGAGGAGCCTTGTTTCCCATTTGCTTGCACATCCTTCCCGTTCCCGGGTTGCCAGGTCTCACGCGATATTTAAGCCTCCATCTCAGAAACGGGATTGGAAGTGGGGTCCCGTCTCCATCGATAATCCCCCGCCGATGACCTCACGCTCCCCGGTGATTAAGCTTTCGCTGATTTGTTTGCATTTTAACTGGACATCGATCTCACGGCGGCCTGAGCGAACACGGCCATTCTAGTGAAATGAGCTGGTGATGAGGTCAACATCTTCGATAACGCTTCACTTAAAGGCACGTTTTTAGTCATTTATAAACACATTCCTAACAAATAATGCATTTATAAAGCATTATAAACATGCCTATAAATACTTATCAATAGGCATAATATGTTATACAGATGTATTATGCATTATGAATGCTTTATGAAGCTCTCATCTATAATGCACTATAGAAATGGTCAGTATGAGCATCAAGGATGCTTTGTATTGCATTATGAAGGTATCTATAGTGCATTATAGATGAGAGCTTCATAAGGCAGTCATAATGCATAATAATCATACCTATAATGTGTTATGTCTTTTCATTAATATATATTTATATGTTTATAATGCTTTATGAATGCATTATTATTTGTACGAATGTGTTTACTTAAGACCATGTTTTTTGTAATTTATAATGTGTTACCCGCATTTGTCTCTATAAATGGAATTATCACCATAAGTGGGATTAACACATGTCATCAGTGAGTGCCTGACTGGCCATCTCTGTTTGTTCTCCTCTGTGTTCTGCGGTTCCTTGCCCCGACCACGTAATGGCGCAATTATAAGAAGTTTATGCATGTTTAGCTATAAACGTTCTCTCTTCTGGCTGGCCGGATCTCGCTCAGCATCTGTTTCGTTGCACGCAGTTGACCTGATTGGCACGCTTTGAGGGATTGTGTTCTCCGGTGGGACTGGTCAGCTCGTCGCACAAGGAAGTGATGCAATATAGTTTCAAGACCTCTCCTCCCCCCATTAGAATGTCATCACATTTAGTCAGCAGAAGCAGGATGGGGGAGGGGGGACAAAAAAAAGTAGGGCAGAAGCCTGGTCTCTGGATACCCCACACTAACAGGGGCAGGTGTCAGCTGGCAGGTGTGGTTGGGTGGTGTCTAGCCTACAACTCTACACTTCATAATGATACCTTCTATGAGCCCCACACTTCTTATGCAGGGAGTTTGTACGAAACACAAGAGCCAATCAGCAAAATGATTATCCAGCCAGTGTGAGCTGGGTCATGTGACCCACGCTGCCAGTTTGACCAATATGGCTGCTTTGATGCTGTGCCCCAGTCTGTTAGACCTGAACAAACATTTTTTAAATAAAAGGTCTGTTTTGTTATACCGTAAGTATTGATTTCCAGCAACAGATGAAATGTTGTAATTTAGCATGTGCAAAAGGTTAGATCTGACTTTTCTTTTGCTTTTGAACAATCTGTTTAGGGACTTTGAGTTTAGCCTGAAAGCAGGCAGTATACTTTCCGTTATGGTGTGTCAGAGATCGAGTGGGAAGAATGCGTAGAAGCCATTCCCAGAATGCCATTTATTTATGCTTTGCTATTTTTTGCAAAGTGATTGGCTCTGATTGCTTCTGGAACCTTCTGCTCCCGCTTCCCTGCTCTCATTAGCCAATACCACAGATGTTTTGCGGTTGCTGGAGCTATCGCTGGATATGGAGGGCGTGTCCCTGGAGGCGGGACTCTGTGCAGCCAGGAATGACACGGCAAAGATCGATGCGGCGTACCGGATAGGCAAGGAGATGCGGCTGTCCGTGCCAACGAAGCAGCTCTTTCCAGGTAACACGCACAAACACACACACACACACACACACGCACACGCGCACATGTGCGCACGTACACACAGTTTTGTAATGTTTGTGGGGACTCTCCATTCATTTCAATGGGGAAAACTCTAATCACTGCATGACAGCCTTAACCGCTCCCCAGCCCTAACCTTAATCATAAGTAACCAAACAAAATATAAGACTTTTTTTTTTATTGCATTCACAGATCTTTGTGGGGACCTAAAAATAAAATACAGGCTTTTATTACATTGTGGGGGACATTCGGTCCCTGCAATGTAATATAAACCTAACCCACACACACACACACACACATACTTTCTCACTCAAGATACATACTGTGTTGCCTGAGCTCCATAGAGACACGTCATTAAGTAACACCTTTAATTAGCGCTTGTCTCAGTCCATCTGGTGTCTAATCATCATTCTTCGTCAAAGAGGGCGTGGCCTATGTGGGTGTGGCCCATGTATATAAACACCTTCTTGGAAATGTCCACGCCCCCTTCTGCAGACTCCGCCTTCCCCGAAGACTTCTCCCTGATGGCCACGGTAAGGCCGAAGAAGGGCACTCGGTCCTCCCTGCTCTCACTTTATGATGCCCGCGGGGTGCAGCAGCTTGGCCTGGAGGTGGGACCCTCGCCCGTGCTGCTGTACGCCGACCACCAGGGGCTGCCCCCGCCTGAGCTCTACCCCACCTTCAGCACGGTTGACCTAGCAGATGGAAAGTGAGTGCCTTTCTGCGGTTATGCCTGGTCGCTTCGATGGTCTGGTACAGCCCTTCACTCGGCCATAGATGAGGGACTCTGGAACAACTTGACTGGACGGATCCAGTGATTTCTCCTATATCTGACTCGCAATTATCCAGCAGGCCATTTTTCTGACCGTTCAGCACTCTCTCCCTTAGATTCCCCTGCTTAGCTTCTGACCCTGTCTGCCCTTCCTGCTCCTCCCAGCTGGCATAGAATCGCCTATAGCGTGCAAGGCAAGGCGACCACGCTCTACCTGGACTGCGAGGAAGTGCAGACACTGGAGCTGGCTCGGGGAGACGATCCCGTGATCAGCACCGAGGGGATCGCCATGTTTGGGGCGCGCCTGCAGCATGACGAGGTGTTCGAGGTGAGCTGTATGGATGAGGTGGACTCGCTTTTAATTCTTGAAGAGGGAAGCTACCACCGACAATGCCAGCTTAGCGAGAGGGACTTTCAGAGTATTAGCCTGTTAGCATGTGCTAGCCTGAATGGTTCACCACATGGGCCTGTCTGCAGGGGAGGGTTTATTGTTTCTCTGGCCCCTACAAGATATTTCAAAAGCAAAACAAATAGTTACTGAGTCAGAATATTTTGTATACAAGCTTAGCATACGTGAGTATACATTAGCATCAAAGCTCAGCATACACATGTGTACATTAGCATGGAAGCTTAGCATACATATCTATACATTAGTGTCAAGGATTAGCATACGTATCTGCACATTAGTATTAAAGATTAGCATACATATGTGTACCTTAGCATCAAAGATTAGCATACATATGTGTAAATTACCATAAAAGCATAGAATTTGTATCTGTACCTTAGCATCAAAGATTAGCATATGTATCTGTACCTTAGCATCAAAGATTAGCATATGAATCTGTACCTTAGCATCAAAGATTAGCATACGTATCTGCACCTTAGCATAAAAGTGTAGCATATGTACTGGACATTGGCATGAAAGAGTAGCATACTTCTCTGTAGATTAGCATAGAAGCTTAGCATCTGTATTCGTACAGTTATTAGTTAACCATGCAAATGTACACTGTCTGGAATGAGTAATCAGGCCTCCCCAAGCGACCCGCGGTAAAAGGAGTCCTGCACCGGCGTCCATCGCATATTCCCTTTACCCCAGGCCTGACTCACCGCTCTGTCAGTGCTCCCCAGCCACTGGCCGCCCCCTCGCATGCACAGCCTGTGCAGGATGCATCGCCGAATGGCCTTAACAATTTGTTCCCATTGATGACTCACAGTTGTTCCCTCTGACTCGCATTTTTTCCCTCTTCCACTTAAGTTTTTCTTCTGCTGTTTTTTCTCACAATTTTTTTTTTCTTGTGGATCGCGCCATCGGTCTATGACCCAGTAGGCTTGTCAGCCACCAGGGGATATGTGAGTTCTGCCCATTCCCAGACCCGACATCTGGGCGGAGGGGGTGGGGCGGGTGGGGGCTTGCAATGGCAAAGATACTATGCTGGCTCCTTGGCTTTATTGGTCATGGTGTAATGCAGCGCTTGGCCTTCTGGACAACAGGTGGGGGTGGGGGGGGGTTTGGCAGGTGTATTGGGGGGCACAGGGCCTGCTGTCCCTCCCCTTCAAGATGGCTTTAATGGCCACTCTTCCTTTTTTCTCCCTAGGGCTGTTTAAGGGGCGTGGCCACAGGGTCACTGGCCCCAGATGAAAGCTGATTGGCTACCTCCTGTGTCACTCACATATACATATATAATGAGTTTAATAGGAAGTTGTTTGAAGGCAGGTGTGACTAATTGGCATGCGCATACATGCAGGCTGGATAGCAGTGCTGCATGTCTGTCTAGCTGGGCGATGTTGAACAGCTTATCACCGGGAGTCCGGTTTATAAGGCAGTTTCTGCATGGATTGTTTAGTGTTGGATGTATTCTTGGATGCCATAGGGGACCTCATGGACCACTGCATAGAGGGTAGTTGGATTTTATTGTTGATTAACTTAAAGGCTTTATTGGTTGTTAGTGTATTGTGCTGTGTGTTTTCCCATTGCCACTGTGTAAGAGCATGGGGGACTTGGGGGGGGAATGTAATGGGGAGGTGGTTAAACAGCCCTCATTACATGTTGCAGAGTGGAGATGGGAGTATTAATTAATTTTAAAGATTAATTGGAAGTAAAGGTTTTGCTAGTTGATTTTCGCAGATTAACTCTGCGGTGTGGCGTGTGCGGGGAAGCCGGACAGACTTTCTGGTTTATTGCATCGTTGGCTAATGATAATGTTTCCCCCTTTGTATGAATTATTCCCCTCTTATGCCCCCCCACCTTAAAAATTCCTAGGATCACCCCTGTTTCTCTCACAAATCTCTAGCCTCTCCTACATTCTTCTGCTTGCTTATCTTTTCTCCATAGTGCTCTCTCTCTCTCTCTCTCTCTCTGCCATATCACCCCTGCCCGTCTAGAGCAAACCAGCAATGCAGACTCATAACACACATCACCCCAACCACTTAAACCTCAAGTGGCAAGTGGAGGAAGGCGTGACCTTGTTTACTTTACCCCAGACAAACATGGCAGCAAAGACCCAGTGTCTGTGTCAGTGTAGTTTTTTTTGCCCTGCTCCTGGGCACACAGATCCTTTTCTTCCAGGGAACAATGATGAGAGAAGAAATGAATAGAGGGAGAGAGAGAAGCGACAAGTGCTTTGATTTTCTTATCAGAACGTAGCCCTTCAGAGAAGCCGTAAAATACTCAGAAAGGCAAGTTTGCTCATTACGATACATTTTCCCATCCATCTTCCTGCTGAGTATTTAATAGAGGGTTACAGGGGGCCTCGAGCCAATCCCAGGCAGCGTAGGGCAGTCGACAGCCTGTACAGGGGATGCTGCTCCATGGCAGGGCGCACACTTACAGTCGCACACTACGTGTAATTCAGAGGTGCTGTTTGCATTTGGACTGTTGGAGGAAACCTACATTCTCAGAGCAGGGACAGAATTGGAGCCCTCAACCCCAGCCATGTGAGTCAACTCTTACATAGTGTGGGTGTCATTCTGCTCTGGGGTCTCCCTGTCTATTCTTTTGGCTGCCAGATTTTATCACTGGCCCATGGGCCGCACACTGCGGAAGCTACAAAACTTCCCTTCTGCATCCTCCTTTTCTATTGGGCCCCCAGTTTCTGTAACGGTGAGGTTCTCTTCAAAGCACATTGACTGTGTACTTAACTAATGATGCACGCATAATTAAGCTGTTAAGGATGCTGGATCTGCTGTGCGACAGGTGCTTGGGAGGTGCTGTTTGGATTGGGCCACACGGTACTGAACACTGTGTGTGTGTGTCTATATTTGGGGTTTGTACCTCTCTGTGTCTTCTGATCTCTCATCTGCACTGATCCCACCCGACCCTTGATCTCCCTCCCCCGCCTGGATAATCCCCCCCACAACTGCTAATTCACCTCAACCGTAGATCCTTCCTATGCAATATTCCACTCTGGCCGCTGATCCCCCCCCACTGTGAACATCCCTGACCTCTGACTGTCTTTGACTGCTGATCCTCCACGACTGCTGATCTTCCCTGACGCTGATCCGCTCCCAACCTTTGACCCTCCCCCTCCGCTGATCCCTCTCTGACCACTGATCCCCTTCTGACCTCTGTTTCCCCCTGACTGTTGAACCTCCCTGACCGCTGATCCTCCCCGTCTGCTGATCCTCGCTGCCCACTGTTCACAGCATTGCTCTGATCCCGCCACACAATCAGTCTGTTAGCCTGTGACCCCGGGCGTGCAGAAAGCCCCAGAGATGGTGACAGACATGTCAGGCTCACCACGCCCTGATGTGGAGTGAACAGAATAGATAAGTGTGTGTCATACTCCTTTACTGTGTTGGTCTTCCATTCTGTCCCTCTTGTCCATCAGGGACACATCCAGCAGCTGCTGTTGGTGGACGACCCCAGCGTGGCGGCTGACTACTGCTGCCACTACATCCCCGACTGTGACTACCCCCTGCCGTACATCTCCCTGCCCCATCAACTCATGGAGGTGCAGGTGAGTCCTTCTGCCACCAGGGGGAGCCGCTATTGCTACCACACACCTAGGTTTACTACCATTTGATACATTTCAAAAAATGCAGTGCAATTTAGCTGCATTGCAGAAGTCGATTTCGGGCCTGGGAACGACCGAAAGTCCCTCCAGGCCCGTGTGCGGCTGAGAGCTGCTCCGTCTTGCTTCCTCTGCTCACCTGCACTGCCATAAACTTGCAGATTTTCCCCGTGGCACTTGGCAGAGATTCCCATCATTACCCATCAGCCCCTCGGGCCAAGCCGCTGCGAGCTCCGTCTCTCGCTGTCCAGCTTCGCGCTCATCAGCCATCGCTTGGTCCCTAGTCGTTGTATAAAAACACCGGAGGTGCTTTTCAACTGCCCTTCAGAATCAACTAAAGAAAAACTGAAACTAAACTGAAAGCAAACATTGCTGTCAGAACCAGAGTAGAACAGGCCCAAAACAAGGAACTGGTGGAATGGATCGTGAATAAAAGTTACACAAAAGTTGAGTAAAACACCGAAATCTCATAGTTAAAAACACGCCCCTGTAGCTGAGATCTCACATGCACATAAGTATCATTATACAGCTTTATGAAAACATGCCAAGCTCATGTTACAGCTCCGGCAAAACTCAGGGCTACGTTTGTGCTGCCCCTAGTGTAGTGACTGTGTGTGACCAACAGGGGGCTCCCGCAAACCTGTTGCCACTCATAAAGGCACCTTAGACCCTGTGAGCTCCAAACATGTTTAATGGCTCGGCTTGCGTCGGTGGCACCTGGGCTGTGCATTCGGGGATCACTAGGTAGTGGCGAGAGTGTCACCCCCCCGAACCCAAGCATACATATATATAAATAGTGCTGTCAGAGACCCGGTCTGGCCCCCGGTTCCGTGTCATTTATTAGTGCACAAAGATCCCCACTGAGGAATTGCAAAGCAGATCCTAATAATGCTGAGAAGAGGAGTCCCTGGAAGGAGCTGTCAGTCGGGGGGGGGGGGGGGGCGGTTGAGGTCCATTTGATGAGTTTTCGTTAGCTGTAGCTTCTCTGCCAAGCCGGACGGGATCGGCGATCCTCTCCCAAGGTCCATCGCCCCCGCCCCCAACAGTCAGGCTACAGTACGTGATCATTACCGGGGGGGGGAGTGGGGGGTGCTGAGCACCTAGCCTAAGCAAGGAGAACATGAAGCATCACACTGACAGCGTTCCTCGGTAACCAGTGCGTCCGTCTGTCCGTGCGCGCGTGTATGTGTGTGTGTGTGTGTGTGTGTGTGTGTGTGCGTGTGCGTGTCCATCCATGATGATTTGCACAGCTGTGAGGAAGTCCTAAGCTCTACGGGAACAAGGGGTTCTGGGCTGCTCATTCTGACCGCCTGAGGCCCGGGGGGGGGGGGGGGGCAGGCAGGGGTGCTGGGCTGTGTGAGGCTAGGCGATAGTCCCAGGGACTGCAGCTTAAAGATCTGCCTCATCCTCCACGAAACCACACACTCTCCAAAGTGCCCTGATCATCGGCTCCGTGAGAGGGGCTGTTTGCAGATCGCTAATTGTTTTCCACCAGTATCCATGGGGCTCTGGAGGAATCTTGGCTGGGGACGGCAGGATCTCAGTCAGGTGTTTTCGCTGTCAGGGCCTCCTCGTTTGTGGTCCCCCGTGTTTTACTGTTTGTTTGTCTTTCTTCCCCTTGTCCTTGGCCCTCGCCCTCGATCCTCCTCTTCGGAAGCCCCCCCGACCAGAACCCGATGATACTGCTGGCCATGACAAGCCAGGGAGAAAGGAAAAATCCAGAAAGAAGAACAGGAAAGGCAAGAAGGGGAAGAAAGACAAGTCCCGCAGAAAGAAGGACAGAAAGGATTCCAGGGAGAAGAATAAGGAGGCGGAGATTCTCTTGGAGGTGTCTGCTGCATTGCCCGAATATCTGCTTCAGGACCCCGCTCACGTTGTCCCTATACCAACTCCTTTGACAGCGGTCTCCCAGCTAAAGGTCACTGCCCAGACCACAAAAGCCCCCCAGGCTGCTGAAGCCAGAGCTTCTGCCATTACCTTGCTTCTGGAACCATCCGATATCCCTGAGATGCCCACTCACGAGCCTGACTCCACACCAGACGTCACCCTGATGGTGCCCACAGCTCTTCCTGCAGTGGAGGTAGATGGGGAAAGAGCTAGCATTGCCCCTCCCCTCTAAATGCATTATTTTTTCTAATAATTTTTTTTCTCCCTTACCTTCCTACTTGACGGCTTCTGCATGACTTAAAAAAAAAAAAAAAACCTTGCAGTTCACCTCTTCCCCTGCAGGTGTCACTGTGGTGCCAAGAGATTTTACTGCAGGTTTTTCTTACACATTTATGGATTTTCTAACACCAGTGCGTTAAACCGCAATTACATGCATATATGCCTGGTGCGACTTGTGGCTTTAAAGTGATGGAATAATTTATGCGTGCCAATGCTGTCAGATTCATAAATTAAATGCATGTGATTACAGAAGGGTTACAAGCACCATAATGGGTAAAAATTTAATCTTGGCAAGATAAAAATGTAAAAATTTGACTTTTTTACACCAAATGTTAAATTTCGTTCTGTGTGGCTGAATTTGTGCTGTACGGTTGCATGTGAAAGAAACCTACTGCTAAATGTTTGCATCAGACGCTAATCCCATCTCATATTTTTGGCCTGGCTCTTCCATCTAAATGCACTGGCTGCTCCGTCCACCCTCTGATGCTCTGTCACCCTGCACTGCGTTTTATTACCTGGGCCGGCTGTTCACATCTGTGGCCCCGCTCAGTTAATCCTGCAGTGGGAAAACACGCACTCCGGCCCCCGAATCCCCAGGGGACATTAATCTAACCCCCAATTACGCCGCGCCTCGTACCGGTCTCCCTTAACTTGTCTATGCCAGTTGACCCGTGACGCAGTAGGTCCTGAGCTGTGTACACTAGGGCGACGAGGCCCAGGGTGTGATTAACGTTGCTTGTGGGATCTTTCGGTTGTCACGTCGCATTATTGACGCTTTATATTAACGTGCAGGTGGAGGGGACTCCCAGACAGACTGGGGTGCAGGAGGCGGTCAGGGAGGACTTCTACAGCGACGTGTATGACAACATCACCGTCTCCACAGTAACGGTGGGCTCTAACGTCAGTGACTTCGAGGTGAGTCACTCGACGGACTCGTTAACCCCGAGGGTTACCCTCCCTCCGGTGACGTCATGCCTGAGTGGTGATGTCGTGCATTTACGATGTGCGACGACTCCCCGGCGGTCGACGCAGGTCCTGGATTCCGAGGACTTCATGAACGAGACGGAGTACAACAGCAGGGTGTACGAGGAGTATGAGGAGTACGAGGATCGGTATGGACAGGCGGAGAGGGAGAGGGCGGCCACTCGGGAGGAGGAGGTACGCCCCCCCAAGCCAGCTACCACCACATGTTCTACCCCTGTCTCCCGTCGGCACGTGGCCCAACGCAGCCCCAATCTCAGTCCCCAGTACAAGCACCCAACTTCCTGTCACATGACCACTCATTCCCAGATTGGTTAACTTTCCGTCTCTTCCTTCCAGGGAAGACATCCGAAAGTAGAAAAGGGGCAGAAGGGAGAACCAGCTGCCATAGAACCGGTGAGTTAGGGTCAGGCCTAACTGTGACATCACTTTGCTGAATTTGTATCTTCCTGCCTTAAGCACAGAGACCTAACCTGCTGAGTCCCTGTTCAATGTTTGATTAGTTACGGCATCTCTGTGTGGAGCTACAATGTATCTTTCCGGTATATCAATGGTTATCTGTCTGTATTATACATGAGTGGATTGGTCTTACTGTGGCATGCCAGAGTTTAGTGTATGATGGGCTCTGTTTCTGTACTATGCATATATTTCTGTGTATAATACTGTGCAAAAGTCTCAGGCAGCGAAAGAAAATGTTTAAATCTATTTATCTGGGTAGGAAGTGCATATTTTCTCAGAAAAAAAACTCTCAATTTAGCATTAAAATGTATGCATATTAAGTAACGCAATAAAAAATATCTTCTGTTATCCAAAAAGTTACTGATGTCTTGTTGGATGTCTAGATGAACATCGCTTCTGTTGCCAAACCTTGTCCTCAGGGGCACCTCAGCCATTCCATGTATTCGCTACATTTCAGCACCGACTCGCTCCATTAATTAATTTAATTTAATAACTCGGTGAGGTATCGATTTAGCTGAACAAGGTGCGCCAGTGATCGAGTCACAAAATACAGGGGTGCATTGGATGGCCGCTGCAAACGCTGGGGTGATTTGGGGACAGCTTTTGAAATGGCTAAGCTGACACACTTTGACTGACAATCTCGCAGTTTTACTCCAACATGATGCTCATTTAAGCTGCCTGAGACTCTTGCAGAGTGCTGTGTCTCAGTAGGATCATGCTGGTGTCTGTTTCCGCAGGGCGTGCTGCTGGAAGGACCACCGGGCATCCCGGGACCGGCGGTAGGTGTCCCCCACGACTCCCAAAAACGGCGCGGGAAATCCCAGTCGCCCCGGAATGACCCTGTTTCACCCTGTCACGCTAGCAGAGGGCCATTTGGGGGGCCATGAACCCTCATGTATGTGTCTGTGCTGATTCTCTCAGGTAATGTTGGCTTTTGTGCTTCTCCGTAGGGACTTCCGGGTGTTCCTGGTCCAAAAGGCCCATCCGGGCCGCAGGGAGACCGCGGCGACCTGGTCAGTGACACCCCCCACGTCATTTCCTGTCTCTTTGTCCCCCTCCATTCCACTCACTGCCGCTTGACTTACATCCCCCCCCCCCGTCCATGTTCCAGCATAACCCCCCACCCCCCCTCTACTTGCACTCGCGCTCCGCGCTGCTGAAACAGCTGGCCAGTGAGGGGCAGTGAAGTGAAGTCTATTGAGCTTCACTGTACTTCACTGTACTGCGCCGCTGTGTAATATGGTTTATGTGTGAGGATAATGCAGTGCGGTGTAGCGGATTGTAATATGGGGGATTATCTGAAGGTGGGTAATATAATATTATAGTGGAGTGTGATGCTGAACATTGTCATTGCTGAAGTGTAATTTGAGGAAGTACACTGGAGTACAGTGTAAGCAGACTCTTTCACCCGAGAGAAATCAGACCGTGGCTTGTTATGAATCGCAGTGTGTCTGCGCACCAGTGTGACACTTTCAGAGGGATGCATGGGCGTTCAGGATATTATCCTCTCGCAGGGTCTCCCAGGGCGCTCAGGACTGCCCGGGGCTGATGGGATACCGGGACCCCCAGGCACGATGCTGATGTTACCGGTAATCACTCTGGAACGCACACACACACACACACACACACACACTCTTACACACACGGGCAAGTAAATGTTATTGCACAAGCAGTGATGCCGACTTCGACAATTTTGACAAAAGCAATGATCTGGAATTCTGCATAAAATAGTATAAATAATAATGTGAGTCTCACAGCAATGTCAGCACATTGACCTGTAAATGGGTCGCCCGTTACCTGTATGTCGAGCATATTCCACCATCTGATGCTGTAAGTAAACCTGGCCGGCGTCAGAGATCCTCCATCTGCTTATCCTGGTTGGGGTCACGAGGGCCTGCGGCTTATCCCACAGGGAGATGCTGGACCACACCGTGGATGGGATGCCGGTCCATCGCAGGGCACATATGCCAGTTAATCGCCACAGTGGTTCTGAGTAGAAAGTTGTGGCTCCAGGCCACTAGGTGACGCTGTTACATTATGGCACGGTTTCACTGCAGGATCTTTAAGGAGCACTCAATGCTGAAAGACTGACATGTGACTCAGTTTGGGTGACAGTGCCTCTAGAGTCTCCTGATCTGGGCCTCTGTTCACTTCTCCCGGTTCTCCCAGTTCCAGTACCGAAGTGATGGTCAGAAAGGTCCAGCAGTCTCCCCCCAGGAAGCCCAAGCACAGGCCATTCTGCAGCAGGCCCAGGTGAGGACCAGCCGGCCCTCGCTGTCCCCCCCCCCCCCCGAATGTGAACTTGCTGCAGTCATTTACAGTGATATCTGATGCATTACTGTCATTTTCTGGTTTCCTATCTAATATTTGTTTCTTAGATGAGTCACCTTGTTTCCAGGATGACTCATCGGAAATTTTCATTACATCTGGGCCTTTTCACGGCGGCTAAGTTTTCTAAGGTTAAGTACTTTGCCACAGGATAGAGCAGCAGGTCCTTGAACTGGTGGCTTTGATGTTAGGGGTCTGTCTGCCATCCATCCATCGCTGCCCCCCCCCCCCCCCCATCCAGCGTAACAGCGGTGGACTGATTTCTGCCATTATGACAGTCGGACTCTGCAGAGTCCCTGCGCATCTTTCACTGTCAGATTAAACAGCTTCAGGTCTGACTTACTCTGCTTGACTTTGTTTGGCCCAGCTATCCATGAAAGGACCTCCTGGTCCACACGGACTGACAGGCCGGCCCGGCCCAGTGGTAAGCTCTCCAGCAGAACGTAAGGATCCGTCCTGGTTCTGTTCCTTGTTAGTAGGAGGCCAGCTCGGTGCCCTCCCTCTCTCTCCCACTTTCTCTCCCTCTCTCCCTCACTCCTTTCGT